CTGGAAAATTACTCTGATAGAAGCTGTACAAATAATTCTCCTCAAGGTGATCCCAGAAATGATAATCAAGGAAGCGGATCCGGTGCAAGAATCCAAATGATACGCAGCTGTTCTGTGTGTGTGTGTGTGTGTGTGTGCACTGATCGTATCTGGTGCCACTGGGGCAAAGTTGTAGTTCACGTAGTGCAGCAGGAAGTCGAGGCCAGCGTGTGGTTAAGCTTGTGGAACAGTCCCGGTTTGGTTTGGTTTCAAGATCATAGTTTGGGTTAGAATAAATACTTTCTTAAGGTTGTCAGACTGTCCTCGTCGTAGTTACAAGCTGCGTCCCGATTCAGGGGAAGGTGCGGCCCGTCGTAGACCGTGAAGGTCGAACCTGAAATGAGACGGTCTGGTCCATGGATCCCATCGCTTTGCAAAATCTAACTTTCATTCACAAAAACTTGAGGAACTGAGCCGAAACCCAATACTTACATTTAACAGTGTGATCCTCAGACTCTCAGTACTGGTGCGCAATGAATCTTGGGATAGCTTGGGCCACAAATGATCCACCTGTTGGATTCCTCGTTACCCAGGAAAAGAAGGACGCCTTTCTCCGCTGTCTAGTCGCGCCACTGTGATGCAATCACTCTTCAAATGCAGCCCCTGAAGGATGCTGCCACTGAATTGGGACACGGCGAATATGTCATATTAAGTGATATTAAATGTGATTGTGGTGGAAATTCTTCCAGAGGATTTCAGCCGTCTCAGGCGGAAGTATTTATTGAAACCACCAAGGAGAAAATGATGACTGAGCAGGTGAATCAGAAGCAATTCCTCCAGATTGTCCCTTCCGACGGAGATCGTATAGATCAGACGTAAAGTCTTGTCTTACCTAGAAATTGTTAAGCATGTCCTGCTCACTAACACTACATCACTGTCTGGAGCTGGGCCGTTCTCTCTGAGTTATTACCTCTTCGTGTATCTTTATCTACGAGAACGGGTCCTTCTGGACACCGTCAGTCATAATGTAAGTTAAACATTGAGCTATCACAGGCCGTATCGGCCCCTCTCTGTTTCTGTGAACCGTGCACACTTCAGAGTCGACACTGTGATTGTTTTTCCAAGCGATTGAACAACAAATTGGCGTTGTTACCTTCGGTCGCCGAAACTGGTTTTCTGCAGTGTTTGAATTTGACTTCTCTTTGGGTCGTCTTCTCTCAAGTCCCAGCGTTTTCTTTTTGGGTCGAAGCTGCTGAGGTTGAGGCTCCGTTCATGAACGCAGTATCGGGGAAAGTATTAACCGAATTTACCGACCATAGGCGAGAGGATAACGATATGAGGTCTCTATGACGTGTACCTTTGGAGTTTATGTGAGCCCACAAAGTGAGAAAAGTCGACTGAAAGGAAGAACATTCCTCCACAACGGTGCCTTTAATTCCTGGTATGATTTGGCCAGAGACAGACATCCAGCATCCGGCAAAATGACACAACAAATCTGGAGAATACTACATTCTACGGTCAAAAACATATCTCGCAAATGGACCCCAGTTAACCAAATCTTTGCAAACTGATTCCAAACTTTAGACAGTGAGATTTGAAGATTTATCAGTTAATGTGCTTGATGCCACTCAGCTGCTTGAACAGCTTTGATGGTGTAGCTTACCTGTTTGGTCCAAGGTCCACTTACTACCTTTCAATTACAGCTTTCAGTCATATCTAATGGTTCAGTTGAATGAGAAAGTTCATCCTTGACCTCAGAAAGAAATAGTCGCTTTACAAGAATAATTAGGTGTACTTTGAGCTTTTTCCGGCTCTTTCAGCTGCACCCCATGGTCATCATCGGGGGCACACAGTGAGTCCAAATGTGCTCTCAAGGATCTTGCTTGTTGAAAGATAAGCTTCTCTGCAATTTTCTGCTACTTATGATTATTTTTACTCCACCGGAGAGATCAGTGTGTGCCAGCCATGTATAGGGAATTCACTCATCTATTCTAAGACACTCACCAAACACAAAACAAAAAAATACATTCATGCCTACTTGACAAAATGATTGTTCCCATGCCCCCACTATAAACACAGAGGGAGTGGATTACAATTGGAGGAATGAGTCATCGAGCACAGAGTAGCTCCGCTCACATAAAAGCTCTTGAGACAGATGAATCTGAGCTTTGATTTAAAGCGGAAACGGTAAAATCTGGCCTTTTCAAAAGTATTATTTCTGCTGTACGATAGCTGTAAAGCTAAAGGCCTCGCTCGTCTGCGAGTGCATGTAAACACCTTTTCAGGTTGAATTCGCTTTTTAAATACAAACCCCTTGAACTCTGACGTTCTTCAAATGCAAAACATGTTGGATTGAAAAAAAAAAAATGCTGATCTCTCAGTTTCTAACAAGGCTCAGAAGTCTTCCCTGTAGCTAACAGAGCGGCTAGCTTTGTGCTCGCGTCAAGCTAGGTTCTTTTGCATCAATCAATAAAATCACACGCATCAACACACACAAAGTAGATCCTTTTTTTTTGTTGTTCTCTCAGCCCATATTCACTTGCTGCCTCATCTCTCTCCTACTCTCCTCTTCCTGTTTTCTTCACATCATCTCCCATTCGCCCTCCTCCTCTCAGCATCATTTTCCCTCCTCATTTGTAACCAAAAATAAGAACTAAAGAAACAAGGAAATTACAGAGATATTATTATCATTAGCAGCCGCATCATTATGATGTGGTCGTATGTCCCAGAGAATTAAAAGTAATGGGGTTGAAATGAAGCATATCAACACAAGAAAGAAAAAGAGTGAGAGGGAAAGATGGAGATAATCAGACTAAATCACGTCCGCTTCGTCTGCAATTACCTGCCGCCGCCACGTTAAAACTGAACAAAATCGCTGCCCACCATCAGCTATAATTACCCCCCATACAGCGTGTGTGCGAGCGCTGTGGACGGCCATCAGAGCCGGGGACATAATAACCGACATTCAAAAGGGAAAAGGGGGGAAAAAGAAAAAGCAGATTTAGTCTTGGTGCTGTGTTAGCTGCTCCAAACCTCAGAGCCACGGATGATTCAGTGTCTCCCAGATATCATCTGATATTTAACGGCAGCTATACAGTATATTTCTTATATATAGGTCGTCCGTGCAGCAGGTTATTATGACATCATAGCTAGGTTTTGTTGCTAGGCAACATCTAATGGTCATAGGACAGGAGCAATAAGAAAAGGTGTCGGTGACGTAGTATAAAGAGAGACAGAGTCTACGTCAGGGGGAGGTGGTGGTGGTGGTGGACGGATGTGACACATTCATGACTATTATCCATGACTGTTAGTCGTTATTATTGTAACCATGACAACAGAGATCGTCCAATCTTAAGGAAGTACTTATTTTACCCCAAAACCACCATCTTTTCCTAAAGCTAACGACCCGTGTGGTCGTCCAGGTTGGAGGTTTCGGTGTGTACATTGATCTGGTATTTTCCGCACCTCTTCAGTCACCTATAACTTATCAATTAACTTGTTTATCTGTCCAGCCGTGCTTGTGCTTACTACCATACAACACATCACTTCCTGCCCAGCAAGGAAACAAACCACTTTTATCAAACCATCGTTAGTAAAACAAAAATGTATTTCTGTTAAATAGGTGGATGATTATTACTTGAATGTACTTGAGATGATTCATTCAGCTAAAATTAATTCCAAAATTCCTGTGAGAACAGTTTAATTTTACAACACTTCTTAAAGCAGTCGTTTCACATCGTCTCTTTCCTTTTTGCTTTTATATTTTCTCCCTGCATTCAATTTTTAGCTGAAAGCTGAAAACATATGCTTGTGGGCAGCGCAGGTTGTGATGGGTTAGTTGCAGAGGGACTATTAGAAATCTTTTTGAAGTGGAGTGCTCTTTAGATAAAAAAAAAAAAAAAAGTGTGAAAGTGTAAATTATTTTTAACCTCTGGGGCTCAGTGATTTGAACGCTTTAAAATATCCAGGAAACATGGAGCAGAAGCGCGTCCTGTCCCTTTAACACAGCGAAGCGAGAGAATTTGCCGCCGTGAACCGCGTTGACATTGTTTTTTTCCAAAATTGCCGGGTTGACTTGTGGAAGTGAAAGTCAGTGGATGGCTTCAGGGCGGACTGGACCTCGTCTTCACAGCAAACTAATCACCAGTGAGACAAAGAAGAAGGCGTCAAGTGTTTGAGAGTAACCGGATGAAAATAGAGACGTTAATCAAAGAGTTTCCATCGGCGGCCTCGCTGTTTCTAGGTTATAGGTTTTGGATTATTGGACAGTAGATAAACTGATGATAGAGGCAGCTCCTACTGGAACAGTGTTTGTCCCATCATCCTATCAGTTGTAACTCTGCATTGGGGAGTGCTGGACAAAGTGTTTGTTGCTGTTATGTTTTTGCTTCCATCATATGATTAGCATCTAAATGGAGCTGCAACTGAGACCAAGTGAACTGAAGGTTAACAAAAATAAAAATAAAAAGTGGCTGAATAAAACCATACCGGATGAAACCATGTGTGTTTTCTCTGTCCGAGTTTGAAGTCGTGTTTTCTTGCTACAGCGTGTTTGGTAAAGTTTAGACGACTAGACGAAGGTTCGGGAAAGATTGAGCAGCTGGACACCGACATTATTAGACCTTCAGGTTGTGACTTCAATGTCAGGACGACGTCTAACGTAAAAGACTGACGTTGATATTTTTGTTGGTTGTGTTGTTAAGTTACAGAAAACCAACGTCTCGCCAACATCGTCTTGACATTTAAAATATAACAATAAAACCCAAAGTCTGCTCAACGTCTCCTGAACATCGCACTACTTCCGTCTTTGCTACTGGAAGAGGACGGCCATGATTAGGACGGGCACGACAGGCGTTATGTCAGGGAAAGGTTAACATGGGACCAGTCGCCGTGATATCTGCGGTGTGGACGGTCTCGGTCTCAGTCTGTGGTCAGTCGCTTCCTTCCCCAGCCGGTCAGTTAGCTGCTCCGATCTGTGGGTAAATGTAACTTTAGGCCTGTTGTATTTTTTGTGCTATCTGACCCCACAGACGACCACACCAGAGTCCGACTGCAGCTGCTGGACGGAGACCCCCACTCTGACTACATCAACGCCAACTATATTGATGTGAGTCTTTACAAACACACACGCACACACACATACACATACACATCCCTCATATCTTTTCCTCTCCCTGAAGTCTAAAATTGGTCTTTACAAAAATATTTAAAATCTAAAAGTCACAGATTCGATCCCCTCAACGGACGATTTGTTCCATCCCTCCTCCTTTCCTCTCCCCTCCAGGAGTCGTGCTTCACTTATCGCTTTAATCTCTCTCTCACAGCTGACTGTTGTAATAAGAGTCTCAATGAATTCGGTGCAAAATGTTTATTTCCAGTCAAACGACGACACATCCCCTCAGTGGAGATAAGGCCGTGCGTACGGCGTGCTCTTAATGACGGTACGAAAGTGATAAATGCTTTCATCTCAGCAAGGTTATCTGTCTCTTATGGGAGGGGGGGGTGAATAAGATGGGGGGGACAATCATTGGTTGGAGAGTCGTCTCTTTTCATGGAGGGAAAATTAAAATCCCCTCTTGTTTAATTTGATGTTTATTTGGAAAACGACCTTGAGTTGTGCTTCTGGGAGGAGTGGAGGGACTGAAGAGGGACACGGGACAAATTAAGAGAGGAAAAGAAAAGGAAAACTGAGGAGAGGGAGAAACTGACAGGTGGCAGGAGTGGAAGAAAAGAAGAGGCAGAAATTGATTTAAAGGGAGTAAGAGGGAAAGAAGTGAGAGAACTAAAAGGAAAAAAGGAGAAAGTAAGGAATCACTTCAGCGGGAGACGGGGGGATGGACTGGGAGAAGAAATGATGGAAGAGGGAGGAAAAGATGGATTACAAGGTGCAAGAAAACAAGGAAGAGAGAGAGCAACAGATGTAGAAATGGAAGAGACAGAAAACATGGATGACGTAGGGAAAGGTAAAAGAGAGAAAGAAACTAAAAATAGAGGAAAATGAGGGGGAAGGATGGGAGGAAAAAGATGGAGGTGACTGAGGTATGACTTTTTCTCTCCGTCTCACAGGGGTACCACAGACCCAGACATTACATCGCCACACAAGGTAATTAAACTGACGTGATGAGTGTGTGTGAGGAGATCGTATGTGTGATTCCACATTTGTGTGTGTGTGTGTGTGTGTGTGTGTGTGTGTGTGTGTGTGTGTGTGTGTGTGTCTAGCAGCCACCTGGTAAATGTCGTCCTTTCGGGCTGGAAGGCTATTACCACAACCTCCTAAATCTAAACCGCCGTATAAAATCCCCCTGACAAATTTAAGACCCCATTACCTCAAACCCACGAACCACTATCTGGGATTGATAGTGTGTGAGTGCACGTCTGTGTGAGTGCACGTGTGTCTCCCTGTTCAGGTGTGTATGTTTTATGAGTGTGTGCACGTGTGTGTCAGTATGTTTATATCTCTAAATTGTGCGTGTGTGTGTGTGTGTGTGTGTGTGTGTCAGGGCCCATGCAGGAGACGGTCAGGGATTTCTGGAGGATGGTCTGGCAGGAAAACTCGGCCTCTATCGTCATGGTTACCAACCTGGTGGAGGTGGGCAGGGTGAGTTCATCATCTAAGGGATTACAAAATGTGTGTGTGTGTGTGTGTGTGTGTGTGTGTGTGTGTGTTCAATGAGGATTACACAGCTGATGAATTTAAGGTGTCACGTTTTGTTGTATTTCAAAAAACTGTCCGAAGCGTCACTTCAAAACCTTTTTTGCAGCTAAAAATCGCAGAAAAAAATATTATTATTATTTACTCTGCATTTAAGAAATCAGCTGAGTGGAGGAAGGATGTTGATGTTGATGGAGGGAAGGATGTAAACCCATGAGTCCACAGAGAGACCTCCTCCCTTCATGCTCCCTGTGAGTTAGTGTGCAGATATTAGAGATATATAGAGACTTTAAATGACCCAACAATGTGACTGTGAAACAAACATCAGGTTTTCCAGCAACATAACATAAATGATTAAAAATCATTGGGTTGGGACATGTTGAACTCCTGCTGTGCAGCGCTGGTTTATCTTTGCTGGGGATTCACTTAAAGTGTCATCTGCTACTTAAATCAATAACCTTCATATGTCCAATAATTAATCTGCCGTTTCTACTGCAGGAGGGGCAACACGACGCTCGACATTCTTCATCTGTTGTATTGATGATGATGATGACGATGGTGTCGACCTCCAGCCTGTGTTACGTATTGTAAACACACAGGCGCGCTGACTGTAAACTGTCTCCTGCAGGTGAAGTGTGTGCGGTACTGGCCTGACGAGACGGAGGTGTACGGAGACATCAAGGTGACCCTGATAGAGACCGAACCGCTGGCGGAGTACGTCATACGGACGTTCACCGTCCAGAAGGTAAAGGAGTGAACGACGATGCAGCTGGAGCTGAAAAGAAAACAGTGATGATGTAAAGACTGAATTATGAAGCTGTCAGTCTGTGTCCTGGTGTTTACACAGGGTTGAGCGTGATGTCATATCACTGCAGTGTAATAATGAATACTTGCCACTCGCTCTCCTCGCTGCTCGTTACTTATCACTTCCTTTTTTTGTCTTTCCTTTTGTTAACCTAAAACCTGGATTACCGTTTCAGCCGATGTTTGTGATTGGGGATTTGAGGCGAGCGAGCGGCGGTATTTGTTTGTTTCTCGCTGTTTACGAGGAGGCTTGAAAGCGTAATTGGGGCCCCTCGTAATCAGGCGGGAGGGATTTGAGAGGAGAGGGTGAAGGCGGGAGAAATGTGCCGCCGTCGTCGTCGTTGTTGTTGTGATGCGGTGAATGGAAGAGAGCTGCAGGAACACACTTCACTACGAGAGAGAGAGAGAGAGAAAGGCTCCGATACAAATCCTTGATTCTCTCCGAACCACTTTGTCACAGGTTCTTCTGAGTCTCGTCTGTTCTCCGTCCTGTTTCCTCGTCACGTCACAGCCGTTGTTTCTTTTATTTCCTCTCATCAACGTCATGCAGCTGCTCAGTTACACGACTTTACTCAGAACAACGTCGGCAGAGCTGCACACAAAGTGATGACTGCGTTCAAATCCTGGATAGATTAATATGTGTTTTACTTGAGAATCGAGGAACTCCAATACATACTCATGGCACATGAGTCTGGCGGAGGGATACGACTGCGAGTTGGTTATTCTAGTTCCTCTTGCTCTTTCCACACCTCCGTCTGTCTTCTCCCAGTTTCTTCTTATATCCTGTATTTCCCTTTCGCCTTCACTCGTGTGAAAGCAGCTTATGAAGACGAGTCTTCAAGTCCTCGCTGTCAGCTCGTTTAGCAAACCATTAATCCATACCACCTCTGTGGGTGTGTGTGTGTGTGTGTGTGTGTGTGTGTGTGTGTGTGTGTGTGTGTGTGTGTGAGAAAGTGCTCTGAAATTCAAAGGAAAGCTGATTTTTGAAACGCCTGTCATTTTGCAGTTTGCATTAATAAGTAGAAATACACACACAACTACAGTACTGCTCTGTGACTGTACGTGTGTGTGTGTGTGTGTGTGTGTGAGATAGTGAGTGTGAGGGACAAAGAGGAAGCAGGAGAGAGGGAGGAGGGGGAGAGAATACAGGTTCTGCTCCACAGTTAAAGAGCTTTAATTGCAGTGAATAATGAGAACAGGATCTTAATGAAAAGGTTTATTAATGGCATATCCCAGGAGATTAACTCGCCGAGGAAGACAGGGTGACAGAGGGACACTCAAAGAAAACAGAGAGGGAAAATATGTGTAGAGAGAGAGAGAGAGAGATCACATAAGACAGTGTCAGAGTCAGTAACAGTAGTTGTGGGTGAGATGTGTAAAGAGTGAGTGTATGTTTATTGTGTTTTCAGTCTGCGCCGGTTACATCCATGAAACTGTGGCAGGACAATTTAACTTAAGTGGATACATGAAGTTAATACATTAAAGAGAAAACGAGACAGTGTCACGCAAAACTCATGAACACAAGTTACAAATGAAATCTTGCCCTTCCCGGCGACATCGTCTCAGCTGACACCAGATCCACGGTTAGAGAAACATCAGATGTGTTTGATGTTATCCAGATGAAGTCGTCCTGACCGCAGGAGGAGGGAAACCAAACGCAGCCTTGTCGCCTCGTGTGTTGCTCAAGAATTTGTACTAAACAGCATTTTTACCCGACAACAAACAGCTCAGTTCATCCGATGGACCGCGTCCAAAAGCAGCAGAGGAGTAATCTGGTCTGTGGCGCTCACACGCACGCAGACACGCCAGATCCGGAGAAAGAAAACAATTGAACGCCACAGCGGAGGCCGAAGCGTACAGGACGGGACTCAGCAGTGTACACAGTCTGCAGGCCAACAAACACAGAGGAGGCCGGGCAGGACAGATGGCTGCAGAGAGGTGCAACACCCTGTATGTACAACTGGAGAAACTCTGCCTGAACTCAGAGCGGCGGCTCACACAACCATTTGTCCACGGTTTGTAAGGCCGAACAACACATCACACACACACACACACACCCGACTGTGGTCCGATGAGAATGTGATTGAGAACTTAAGACTCCCTGTCATCATTTAACTCTGGGTAGTCCTGCCCCACCGGCTTATTATTTCCCACAAATCCTTCAACTGACGGAGCCGTTCAAATGAAAAAAACTTCAATTCTCTCCAGACGATCTACAACCCAGATGACTGATGCGAGCGCTCACAGGAAAATGGTCGGACAAGACTTCACAGGTGATGGACACGCGGACAGGTGTTGGAGGAGCAGCGGGGCGTTCACGTGCTGGAGGGAGGAAGAAATACAAACCAGGAGGTGAAGAGTTGAAGTGGTGCAGTTAGTTTTCTGTCCGCTGCGTCGACCGGATGAGATGAACTCAAAAGAGCAACACGCTTTCCTCGGTGGGCGACCTCTTCTTTTTTGTGAGATAAATAAAGTTATGTGTTTGCCAGGGTTGCTAGGCGACAGGAACCGCGCTTTGCGACGCAACAGTAAGGGCTGGTGACGCAAAGCGGAAATCCTTCGTTTGCCATTTCGGTTCGGCCTTCACGCCTTCATAGGCCACGACCTCCGAAGGTGCAGAAGGATCCCATAAATGTCAGGGTGTACTCGTGGTTGACGAGCCCGTACGCCATGACTACGAGGTCACGGGTTCAGCTTCCACTCGCTCATTCGAGACCTGAGAGAGCAACGACACCCCGACGCACTGAAACACCGCACATCTACCGCACGTGCATCTTACTCTCGGACGCTCGCGTAAAAAGCAAAGCTTGTCAGAGAAGTTTGTACCTGCATGTGCAAAAATAAAGGCATCTAAAAGATTCAGACACCAGCAGCTTTTACCAGCACACATGTTCTGCACATCAGGACCTGTGATAGACCCCGGGAGAATTTATTACTCTCTGCAGATCAATAAGATTTATTGTCTGTCGCTCGTCCATTGCAAAGGAAAGGGTGTAAAATGTGAGGAGAGGCTTTAAAGTGTTTCCACACCCTCATCCCCGAGCTCCAACATGTTGTTCTGCACCTTAATGTTGTTGTTGCTTTCGGTTTTTTGTTTTTTTTCTCGGTGCAGTCGTGGATTCGAGGCCCTGGCTGCGTTGGACCGCCTTCTATCGATTTAGAGAAGTAATTTCAACATCACAAGAGAGCAAATCAATGGGAAGTCGGGTTATCAAATCACCTCGTGGTTTTCTAGGTTTTTATTTTTCTCCTCTCTCTGCCTCCACGCCTCTCTATCTCTCTTTGTGTCTCTGTTTATCTCCTCTTCTCTATCTTTACTTTTTCTGCTTTTTTTAATTTTTAATTTTGTCTCGCATCTGTATCTTCATCCTTCCCCACACCACATCTCTCCCTCCCTCTCCCTCCCTCCCTCCCTCCCTCTTCCGTGACCTCAGTTCCTTCCCACTCACAGTCTCCATTTCTTGACCACTACCCCTGTGCCTCTTCTTTCTATGTCATCCCTCCTTCTCGAGTTATCATGAGGCACTCAGCCAAGGCAAACAGTTTCACTGCGACCTTGGTCTGTGCCGGAGCAGAGCGGCAGCTGCAACAACGACGGTTTCCTCCCGGTTCTATTCTTGGAGGGTAAACTGAACTGAACGGGACGCGGATCTCTCCACTTAAGGTCCGTTTGGTTTAGAGCGGTATAATGGAATCCATAGTTTGAATTATTAAAGCAGAAGCCTGAAGTGTTGTAGAGAAAAGTGTAGCAGCAGGAAACTGAAGAAAGGGTCATACATATCTTATGGCGCATTTAGGAGCTGTCAAAAAAAAGTTCGGAAATATTTCTACATCCCCGTGAGGAGAGTCTTGGCTGGACGCCCTGAGATGCAGGAACTAGAAGCAAGACCCCTCGGCTTCAAGGCAGCTGACGCGAGTTACCTGTTATACAGGTAGGCACGTTACTGTTGACACGTCTGAAATGGAGAGAATACACTGAGGTTTAGCTGGAGGTGTGTGAAAACCTGGATTCAAAACACACCAAATATTTAAAACCTGCAATAACAGATCGGTTCAGCCACTTCGGGGGCAGCGGAAAAGCTCTGACACATCCAGCTGTTCCAGAACTGTATGGAACCATAGATCCAGGTCCGATAGCCTCTTTGTTTTTTGGTCTTCTTTATTTATTCTTTATTTACAAGGATAGCCCCTTGAGATGTCCCCTCTCATTTTCCTTACAGATGATACAAAACAAAACGAAACACAAAAACGACATCATAGTAGGAAATCATAATAAAGGTAAATACAACACAAGACTATACAAGACAATTAGACGCAGAGACAACCACAATCAGAAACAATCAGTGAACCATCTGCGAAAATACAACTGCAAGGTGACATGAATGCACATACATATAATAAACAGCATAAGGGAGAGAAGAGAAGAAAAATAAATAAAAATAAAAGAGAGAGAGATCAGAAACAGGAGCAGGATGTTTGAAGATGAGTAAGAAGAGATGATTTGAAGATATGGAAAGAGGTAATAGACCTGAGTGAACGGGGAAGATTGTTCCAGTCTGTTGGAGCTTTAAATTTAAATGCACGACGACCTATTTCTTTGTTGATTCTGGGTGTAAGGAAGAAGGGATGATCCGTATGCCTTAAGCTGTACTGTGAACTAAAAGGAATTAGGTAATGTTTCAGATATGAAGGGAAATTGAGATGAATACACTTAAAAATAAACAGTTTTGGTCTCTGCCTTCCTCTGGTGGAAGTATCTGGCTCTTTGGCTGCTAACGATCAGCAGCTAGTCGCTAACTGAGCTATTTGTGAGTGTTCAGTGGGTTTTTAGAGCGTTTTTCGCTTCAACACAAGGAACGGTGTGAGAATGAACCAAAACAGTGAAGAATGGACTGAAACTTGCTGTAAAGTTCAGTATTCAAGGTTCAACACTATATAGATAACGTGCAAATGTTAAGTTACTTTGCACTTACTTCCCTGTGTTTTCCCTGATCACGCAGGGTTTCACAGCCCAGGTGTTACTGTTTATGTTCTAGTTATAGTGAATATTCAGGGCTGTTTTGATGGAACATACTTTGTTTCATAAATACCATCGGATCCCTTTCTTTTACTTGGTTTCTAATTTGAAGCGTTTCTAACTGCACGCATCAGAGCTGGAGTTTGTTTCGCAGGATTTTCATTCTGTTGATGATAATCAGAACTTTATACTTTATACTTCATCTCACTTTATCACCTCTGTTGCTGAAAGAGCTGAATAAGCAAAATGAGATACCACACCCAGTGCTGATCCCCCGCTACACTGCAGTGCGCTCTTTGTTTCGACCTACTTCCTGTTTCAGTCACATGGTCAAGAGGTGATGACATTTCAAAGGAAATTAGAGGGAAAGAAAAATCTGCATTGTGCATTTTGCATAGTGGATAATTTCATACTCTTACACTTCCTCCCCGGCTCATACAAGTTTCAACCAAATATTCTTCTAATTATAATTTCTGACTTCCTACCCTGGACTGCAGCACTGGTTCTGATCCAGAACGTCTCTTCATCAGCTAAGCAGGAAATCCTGCACACCACAGTTTTCAGATATTACAGCACGTGTGTGTGTGTGTGTGTGTCCTGAAGAGGCAGCGTGACGTGAGACTTAACTTCCATCTGTTAAGCATCAGAATGTCATCTTCAGTTTCTTAATATCCCCATTGTTAGACGGTAAAGTATTTACCAGCCCTTTGTGTTTCCAGAAAGTACATCATTAAAATGTCAAGATGCTATCACACGGAGAGCCACAATGGATTCCCACTGCCATTTCATTTCCCCATAATCTCTATTGTTATGTACCAAACTGTCTCTTTCTGTATCTGTGTCGAAGAAGAGCCACAGTGAGTGGTGTGGGAGTCCAATTTATTTTATTTTTTTATCTTAGTCTTTAAAAATCTGTCTTTCCAGCGAGTGGGGTCCGTGTCTCCACTGCTGAAATGAAAGTCATAAAAAAGAAACTTTAATTGTTTAATAAAAGTATATTGTGTTTTATATTTTCCCCTCTGTTCTGATGTCGTTGTGATATCTTCATTCATACAGAGGGGAGCCGAGTGACTGTTAGATGTCTGAGATCTCCTTGTAAATTAGCCAGCTGAACTGAACCATGGCGTTTCCTCCTGTAAGTCTCTCCCAAAAGGGCCATCATGAGATTTGTGAAATCAATTAATCTTTTTTGGTGGAGCCAAAATGGCCATCAGTTTCCTCAAATCTCCCCTGTAAATTAGGCAAATGAGCCACGATAAGTCTTCCTGTCTCTCGTTCCCAGAAGTGGCCCAAAGTGCCGTCTTGACATCCATGAGATCGATTTATTTTCCATCTGAAGCCAGAGAGGCAGCGTGGCCCCCAGATTCCTGAAATCCCTGCTGTAAATTAGGCTGCTGAACCACGATATGTCTTCTTGTCAGTCTTCCCCAGAAGGGCCGTGATAAGATTTTTTGCGATCCGAGCATTTGACATCAACAGTGAGACAAAAAAATGGCTGCTGCTTTTCCTGAAGAGACAGAATCTTTTTCCTGGAATTGCAGTTGTAAAAATACGCATCATCTCTCCCTCTGTGTGTGTGTGTGTGTGTGTGTGTGTGTGTGTGTGTGTGTGTGTGTGTTTCTCAGAAGGGTCACCACGAGATCCGTGAACTCCGTCAGTTCCATTTCACCAGCTGGCCCGACCACGGCGTTCCCTGCTACGCCACAGGACTGCTGGGCTTCATAAGACAGGTCAAGTTTCTCAACCCGCCAGACGCCGGGCCCATAGTGGCACACTGCAGGTACACACACACACACACACACACACACACACACACACACACACACACACACTTCTGAAGGTCTTGCACAGAAGATGAACTTAATTCCCTGATGCTGCCGGTCAGTGGCTGCACAGACCAGACAAGGACAAACACAGACGCTCTCTCTCTCTCTTGTGCAGCTCTTTGCTCTTACAGAGAATAAAAATAGGCACAAAGAGTGTTCTTCTTGCTTGTGTATAAACATGGAGCCACTTTGACTTTATATTTCATATTTTGATGATTATTTCTATATTTTTGATTTTAGAATAAGATAAGATATTCTGTTATCCGTCCTACAGTGGGGAAATGTGCAGTATTACAGCAGCAAAGTGACAGTACCAAAAAAGAAAAACTGCAAAATGACAATATCAAATAAATAAAATAATACAATATGTAAAATTGAAATACTTAGATATAAATAAAATAAACGTGTTGTAGTGTAACCATCCACCATCACAATCTGTCTTTCACTGATACTGTACAATATAAAGGAACACACCAAAATACTTATTAAAACTTATTGAAGGACACGAGCAAAGCTTCTCTATTTCTATTGCAACCAACACAACGTGAATAACGTCTCTGGTCTGAGAAGCCACTGCTCATAGTTTCCTTCTGACCACGGCCATGATGATTTACTAACCTTAATGAGTAGCTGTATTGTGGTTAAACCTAACCTTCCCTAACCATAACCAGGAAGTGTTTGTGTCTTAAAGGAGCTGTTTGTAAGTTTTTACTATTGCTACATAGCTAACGTTAGCATGAACCACTTCTAGAATAAACGCTGCGAGTTACGCATCAAACTTAATGCCTTTACTCCTGACGTTAGCATGCTAACCAGCTAGCCGCGACCTGTCTCGTCACTTTCCGATACCGAGTCGCTGTAGCCTCCAATCTGCCCCGAAGACGCAGCTGCTCAGAGGGCGTAGCATAATCTTGTCTCGTAAACACAAAGATGGCGCTTGTCGAGCGACAGTCACCACCAGGAAGAAACTTTCCCCTTTAACCAAACGAAACCTTAACAACAACAATCTGTCAGAATTTCAGTTAGTAGTTAATAGTTATTTTAGTTTATTCACATTTGTTAGATGCATTTCTAAATGCAGTGTTTATAGTGAGTCTTCTAAAATCTAAAATAAATCAGACGACAATCAGATAACAATCTAATCTAAAACCACATCAGTTCAACGTACAGTAACACACAGAGTAATGCAGGAATGGTTTTACAAATCAAAGTGTACAACAAAATAATAATATACATGGTTTAAAACTGACAGAGCGTTACCTAAGCAGAAATGTTTGTAATGAATGAGTCTACTGTAGGATCTTAATAAACAACCAGATGAATCTGCTTTACTTTATATTAAAACCAGAAACCTTTAACCTGATAACAGTCTGAAAATATCCATCCTCTTCTCACTGTCAGCGTTTCCTCCCGTCTTCTTTTTCTTCCTTTTCTCCGCTCCCCCTTTCATTCTCCGATAAGACAACAGTTGGTGTTATCAGCACCAATATGATCTCACACTCACCGATCCCCCTCGTCCATAAATCAGATCGATGGCGTTAACCTTTCAGAAGTAGGCAACAGGAGAAAAAAAAGAAGAAGAAATTCACCTCCCACCTTTCATCCCATCACCACCACCACCATCATCTACCAGGGAGAGAGAAAAAAGAAAAGTGACAGTTTTAAGATCCCCACGGCGACAGTATATTTAACCTCCATGTTCTGTTCTTTATGGGACGTTAACAGTTCAGCTCCGGGGGCCAGGTTGTCAGCAGGCACAAGCTTTAAAAGGTCAGCACTCTGACAAGCGATAGAAAAAGCTCTGGAGTAGATTCCTCACATTGATACGAGCTTGTAAATATAAATATATATAAATATATAATTTAAATTAATATTAACATAGAGGGAATTCAACAGGTTATGGTTAGCACAAAGGACCATCCCCGTTCACAAATCCACCTCCAGCTCAACGATTGCATCACACCTTTATACCGATGGACCTACTTGTTTGTGCAGATTAACCAGCAGCTGCAAACTATATTTCTTCTTTATATTGTTTTCTCCTGTTTGAATATGAGTTTGCTGATAGTGGAAATTGATTAAAGTCTCACATTGAGAACATTATTATTCCAAACCTCTCTGTTAGAAATGATGTCATGTTTAGCAGTAATTTGGGACAGCGGTATGTTTTGAAAGAAATGTAATAAGACCCATATTATGTTTTTTTTTTTTTTTAGATAGATGTATCTGCCAAGTTGCTAATTGTTTACACTGAATGTTTTTGATAAATGTTCTCTGAAAATATATTTAGTTTTTTCTACAATAACCACTCATTGCAGCTGAAGTGTGATTAATGCTGCGTTCAGGCGCTCACAGCGTGGGTGGGAGTGTGAGATAAACATGTTTACTTTGTCAACATGTAACTGAAACCACAATCTTTTCCCGAGCTCTAACAAAGCGCTTTTATTTCCTAAACCCAACAAGACGCGAGACTCTTACGTTCCTGAAGTGGAGATATATGATACGGATTCTAGTGCTGTTTAGGAACCGACTCTTGCTGTAAGTCACAGTTTTCAGAACGTCCTACGAGCACTTGAATGCACCAACAAACCTGCGACAATGACATGGCTCAACAAATAAATGAGCTAATTACCTGAACAACAACAACAAACAACAACTGGCTGCCAAAGTGACTCATATAACCTTCCCAAAAATAACTCATGTGCAGAGGCCCCCCAGGGGAAAAGGGGCCCCCGATGGCCCCTCATATTTGCACATTTTGCAATGACAACTATAAACCCAATTAAACCTCCCATAAAGACACTTTAGAGTCACTGCTGTTGCCCCAAAACCCCCCTAAGTGGGGGTAGCTAGAGTCTACCAATAGTCTGCATGTGAGGCGTTTATGGTTCAATCTACAGATAGTTTGAATGTGAGGCGTTTAGGGGACATCTGTAATTTGTAGCATCTGCCAGTACTCTGCATGGGGGGTTGGGAAAGATTGCTGTCACGTGATAATAAAACCGATGGAATATAAACCACTGCTCAAGTTTTCACACAACTTTTGACTCTTGTTTTTCCCACGACGCGTCCTGAACTTAACCGTCAACTTTGTTTGGAAAAATGTGGAAAACGCACAGACGGAAACATCGGCGCTCACCAACAAGGCGGGCAGTCGCAGTCAACCGACAGCTGTAGTAAAAGTATGTGGACAGACAGGCAGGAAGTTATGGCAGTCACTTCCAATTTCCGGGGGCACTCTGACGCTATTGGCCTGTGTCATGAGGCTTTCAAACACACACACACACACACACACACATGCGCACACACACACATGCGCACACACAGAGGCCCAGCAGTATTCTGGTCTCAACATTAATCACAGAGGTTGACAGGTAATCTGCAGAGGCTCTCCCTCCTTTCCTCTCTCTTTCTCCTTTTTATCTTTCCTTTTCTCTCTCTCTCTCTCTCCCTCTCTCTCTCTCTCTCTCTCTCTCTCTCTCTCTCTCTCTCTGTCTAGCTGTCTATGGGAGGTGTCAGGGGGATGCAAAGTGAAAGATAGGTTTCTCCCCTCCCCTCTCCCCATCCCTCCATACCTCATCCTCGCAGTTCCCTCTCCATCCCTCCATCCTACCTCCTCTCCTCCCTTGATCTCTCCCCTGTGACGACCACCTCTGTGACTCCCAATCACTAACCTCTTCCCACCGTTCTCTCTCTCTCTCTCTCTCTCTCTCTCTCACCCTCCCTCCTCCTCTTCCTCCTCCTCTCCCTCCTCCTCCTCCTCTCCCTTGCTCATTCGATCCATCCATCCATCTGCTCATCTGTCCCTCCGTCCGTCTCTTCCCTCTTGGCATTACTGTTCAGGATGTGTCACCTTAACACCTGACATGTGGTATTAAAGTGTGTGTGTGTGTGTGTGTGTGTGTGTGTGAGACAGACAGACAGAGAGAGAGAGGTGCCTCATCACTTAGTCCATCACATTTTGTGTCTTTGAGTCTCAGACACATAGAAATAATATATATATATAATTAGAGGAGAGATGTGTTTGTTTGGTTTTTTTTAACCCAGACCTTTTGAAATGTCGTTTCCCATCATACACCAGTGCACAGACCACATATTAGCACCATTGCAAGAAACGTACTTCTCTGCTGCAGCTTTCCTGTAAATTCATTAGGCAGTGCAGCATGTTTTTAAAGCTACAGATAGATAAATATAAAGTCTGTTTGTGTGCGCAGTGCCGGTGCAGGGAGGACGGGCTGTTTCATCGCGGTGGACATCATGTTGGACATGGCGGAGAACGAAGGCGTGGTGGACATCTTCAACTGCATCCGAGAGCTGAGATCGCAACGGGTCAACATGGTGCAGACGGAGGTGAGTGTTCGGACGCACAGCGCGCACACACCTGCTGCAGACACTCACAACACAGCCGAAGTGTTTCCAGGGGAACACATAAAACCCTAACCACTGCATGGATCTATTATAACACATCCATGTGTAACAAATCCAACGGAATTTAAACCACTGCTGAAGTTTTTCCACAACCTGTTAACACAACTCAACAGTCAACTTTGTTTAGACAAACGTGGAATAATTCCCTGCAGGAAGAACGAAAACATGTCTGCTCTACTTCTTCTTTTCTTTTTTTTTTTACTGAAAATTGCCCGTAGTGCCTGGAAACTGGAATCAGAAGCTGCACACTTCACCCGCTGCATCTACACACAGACGTATTCCACCACAGGAGACTTTCATGTAGGAAATATGCTCAATTAGCCTCATTAGCTTGAAGCGTGCTCTCTGTGTCCGTCAGTCCGTCTGTAGACCGTGGACGAGACGCTGGAGCATAAAGAGAGAGACAGAGACTCCTTTCAGTCTTATATCATCCATCTCAATCAGGCTGGGAATATTAAACGCACCCTGAATAATAGATAACCTCAGTGCAAACACACACACACACACACACACACACAAAATCAAACACATAGACTTAGTATTCTTTGTGTGTTTGTAAGCTATTGTGAGATATGCACACACACACACACACACAACATTACTTAACTTTCATCAGGGCCAAAGTGATTTCATTCATTTGCAATTCCTATAGCAGACGGCACAGAATGAATCACCGTCAGTGAGCTAATAACGGCTAACTGCTGTTGATGCAGCGCTGATACTACTGCTACTACTACTGCTACTACTACTACTACTACTACTACTACTACTGTACTGCACTGTACCGGCTTCATCAGCTGACTGATTTACACATCAGAGGTTTATTGTTTGACGTCTGTGAAACCTGGATCGTGTGTTTCCTAAAAAGTTGTGTGTTTTCATCAGCTGAGGACTCCAGTCACTTCCTGTCCTTTACACAGTGTCATAATTTGTTCTCATTTTGCACTATCAATCAC